TATTTAATATCAGTATGAGACACTGGACTATTGTCAAACATAGAAAAATGTGTTCTTATAATGCATACTTAACACAGAGAGTGCATTACACATTATGTACATATTGAATAAAAGATAAATATTTTTCCTCATGGAATTCCTTTTGCTATTATTAAAATATTATTTGAAAGGTCTAGTAGAGACTCTGTTTTGAATCCTTTGTCTGCAAGTAAGGTGAAAAGTCAAGCAACAAATTAAAGCAATGAAAAGGGGGGGAAATCTAAGAGCACCCCCCCTTTTTCCCGCCACCAATCTTTGAAACTTTGAGATGTATTAGCCAACAACTTCTTTCATATCACACAGCACAATGGATTTATAGTCTTACACATCTGGACTGCACTAGGCTGGGGAATGCTGCTCTGGAGGCTGTGGCGAAATGAGGTTGTGTTTCTTTCTCCTGGAAAATGTTAATGCTGCATTAATGCATTCCCCTGTTCTATTTTGGCATTATTAAATTCAAAGAAGATCAGTAAACAAGATGGGAAGCTCCACTGCCATCTTGTGCATGTAGCTCTGCAGGCCAATGCAAAGGAAAGGGCAGGGTTCAGGAGGGACTTGTCTGTGATAAGGGCTGCCTCTTTGGTGGGGATCTTGGAGGCCGTAGTGGCTTTGTCATGGCCTTGCTCTTCTGGAAGGGTGGGGAAGGGTGGGAGACTGACAAGGACAGAACAAAAGGAATGGCTAGATTTCTCTTGCTACTAACTGAGATAAAGAAGAAAAATCTGGACCAATGAATGGGAATGGGGGGAAGGGGAGGGGGCAGAAGAGATTGCAGAGAAGGAAGTCAGGGTAGAAGGATGATTATGGGAGATAAAAGGGTAGGTAGGCATCCATATGATGACATTTTCAGTTAGAACCTGAAAGCCCAGAATAACAGAAAGACCTGAATGGTACCCACAATTTCATATTTACAAAGAGAAGTGCCAAAGTTGCATAAAGCCAATGTACTAATAAAATAATATATATTTTACTACAAGCCAAGGCCTACATCTAGATCTTTCCCTCGTTCTCACAGAGAATATATTTGAACAAATAGAAGAAGGATTAAACTAGAGCTGGATACTGATTAAAATGCAATCGTGCCTATGTTGTAGCAGAATGACACAGTGGGCAGTTTGGTGTCTCATACTGGGTGAATTCAGACAACACGCTAACCCAGGATTTTTAAACCATGTTTAACTACCCATAGTGCCTGATTCCAAATAATGCTAAATTACACTGAACCCCCCCAAAACCCAAACCATATTATGGTTCAACCTTATATGTGACCCAGGCATTGTGAACTTTAATTCAGACAAATCATCATCTAGACATTTACAAAGGTGAACATTAATTTAATATAAAGATTTTGATTTTGTATTGTGGATAAAGACTGGATGATTTTTCCTTTAGCCAAGGATAGATGGTATTTTGTTTCTTCCAATACCCGAGTCTATAAAATTGCCTTATTCTTTCTTTTCCAGTTACTTTCTTCCAGACAAAGGAAGTGAACAAAAGAAGATGCATGATTGGAGGAAGGAAGGAAGGAAGGAAGGAAGGAAGGAAGGAAGGAAGGAAGGAAGGAAGGAAGGAAGGAAGGAAGGAATCCCAGAAAAGACCTGAAGACACTGAAGCTGAGTCAAGTGAAACTAGCAGGTGTGATGTCATCAAGAGCCACAATAACTCCAGTGGCACTATAACTGGCCTCAGCAACCCCAAAGCCCAGTAGTGGGTGATGAAAAGCAGGAAGATGGTGGACGAGTCAGGTAGTTTGCAACTCCAGGGGTCAATGCGGGCAAGGTAAAAAATTTGACAAGAGGGTGTCCTGAGTGAAGCCACAGTTACCAACAGTGGGGAAACTAAATATATGATAGCAGCTGCAACCTTCAAGAACCAGAAAAAAGGAGGCAGCAATACCAACCTTCAGCCAGTACCTGGACTACAGAGGGCTCACAAATGCCAGTACTGTAGAACTGACTGGGCGGAGAAGATGTTGCAGCGGTTAAAGGGCTCACAAAGAACTACAGTAGCCCGGATGGGGAGGGGGGAGGCTTAATAGGAAAATACATACATATATATGTGTGTGTGTGTGTGTGAGAGAGAGAGAGAGAGAGAATATTAGTCCAGAACCATAAAGTGCAAGCAATACTAGAATAGAGAACTATAAGTGTCAATGAATTGATTATAGAATTATAATTATGATAGAACTGAACAGAGAACAAGATAAAACAACACAGAGAAGAAGTAAGAATAATTCCTGGGAATAAGGAATTATAATGAAATCTTTATTTTAAGATAAGTTTTTATAATAAAATCCTTTTTGAAGGGAATTGTTTGTCCACTTGATCAGTTCTGTTAGCACCCCCCCGCCCGCCCC